CCCCTGGCCGCGCGCCTGGCCCCGGCGCGCTCGCCCGCGGGCGCCCCGCTCCAGGGATCCACCACGCCATCGCCACCCGGCTCGACCACGCCGTCGTACCCGACGCCTCCGTCGAGCTCCAGCACCCCGTCGTACCACTCGCCGCCCCAGGGATCCACCACCCCATCACCACCGCAGGGCTCAACCACTCCATCGTACCCGACGCCGCCGTCCAGCTCCAGCACCCCGTCATCCCACTCGCCGCCGTAGAGCACGCCGGGGACCCCGTCGTACCCGTCTCCTTCGTCAGGCACCCCGATGCCAGTAGGAGGCCACGCGCCGCCTCCCCCAACCTCGGTCGACAAGCCAGACGGGCGGTACGCGCCGCCTCCGGGCTCGTACGGCCCCACGACGCCCTCCGGCAGCCACCAGACGTCGTCGCCGCCCATGGAGTACCCCGGCTACGCGCTGCCTCCCCACTCGCCGGGGACACCAGCCACCACCACGCCTCCATCAGAGACGCACCCAGGCACCCCGTCCTCGCCGTCGTCGGGAGCAACAACGCCGTCCACGCCCGAGCACTGCGCGCCGCCGTCCCAGGGCGGCAGCACCGGGCACCCGACGCCGGCCGGCGCGAACCTGCCGTTCCCGCCGGTGTACGGCGTGGCATACGGGTCGCCGCCGCCACCAATGAAGCCGTACAACTAATTCCTCCCGATCCACCGCCGGAGCCGCCGCCAACAGCCGATCGCCGCCAGTATAATTCAGAAGAAGGGGCGCAGCGAGGCCAGACGGCCATGGGCACGGCCAGGCGCGCGGCCACGGGCGCGCGGCCAGGGGCGCTGCGAGGCCAGACGATGGCGAGGGGCGGCCACGAGCGAGGGGCGGCCACGAGCGCCGCGGAATGCACGCGAGGTGTTCGAGGAAATGCCAGAGAGAGGAGGAGGAGGAGGAAGAAGAAGATTGATGCTGACAGGTGGGCCCATCCTGTCAGAAATGCGTTTAGAAGAGGCCAAGCGAGCGATTTCGCGACTTGGTAGTTTTTTGCCACGGATTAGCGAGAAAGTGGTAGTTTTCGGGACAAAATCGTAAAATGGTAGTTTTTCGTCACGGTTCTGTGAATTGTGGTAGTTTTTGGTTAAATACTCTCGGTGGTTGCTTACTCTCTGTTTAGACATGCCACTGGTAGCCAAGCCAGCGGCATGGGCCTCGTCGTGTACCACAGGGAAAGAGCATTTTGGCGAATGCTTACAAGCTTATGATAGAGTAGTCGATTTTGGTTGAAATGGTTCGGGCACGCACAACAACTAGATACATGTAGAATTAATGCTGAAGTTCATCACTGGGAAGTGTAGTGTCAGGCCGACAAGTTACTAGTTTAAGAGAAGAAAATCCGGTGGACAAGTTGATCAGTTGGAGCAGAGTTGTTCCGGGGCGAGTAACCCCAACGTGACCTGTCTCTGTCTGTTCAATTACGTAGAGGTATGTCACGGAGCTCGGAAACAAATCGGACAGCGATGCATGGCTATCCAACACAAATGGATACATCCATAGTTCTCATTATTTCCCATTTGCAGCCATGCATTTGATGCATGTTAATCTGTTGGGAACCCACTCATGCAACTACATATATCAGTTTTGCTAAAACGCATCTAGATATGTCATAAGTATTGCACATCTAAGTCCTATATTATTGATCTCTTGCGAAGATTCGTGTGAGAATTTTGTTTTGCTTTTTTTTCCTTTCTATACTTGATTGTTTCATTTAGATGTGCAATAACTATGGCACATTGGCCGGTTCTTTTGGGTGATTCTACCAGAATCGCCCCCCTCCCCAGCTTCTTCCAGAATCACCACTCCATATGTTTTTTACAATCCTAGATAATTAGACCTTAACTAGATAGAATTGTAAAAAAAAATATGAAGTGACGATTCTGAAAAAAGCTAAGGAGGGGGGGGGGGCGATTCTGGGAGAATCGCCGAAAAGAACTGGCCCCTAGATGTGCATTTGCCGACGAGCCATGCAAGTCTCTCTCCAAATACTCCAGCAGGGCGTCCATCACCGTCTTCTGCCCTTTGCCAGCCTGAGTAGGGCACCTTTGGTCTCGACAACGATGGCGTGGCCGCTTTTTTGTTCCTTTGCATGCACCTAGATATATCCTTCTCATGGCGCACCGGACACCGGTTGGTGAGTGGCCACTGGCGCGACTACGTACATAGGTACGACTGTAACGGTTGATTCGTTGAGCGGCTGCGGATCGTGCGTCTGTGGCCCATCGACGAGCCCTTGCCGGCGGAGACGGGTCATCGCATTGTGCCAGGCCTCGAAAGCGCGCGTGCGTTCCACCCTCTGCGCGCACACCCCGACGGTCGACGCATGCATCATGCAACGGTGCTGTTTCCACTGTGGCGTTGGCCGCGTGGGTGCGAGACCCAATCGCGGAGTGAAGTCTATTTTAAACCTTAAAATTGTAGAGCTCGTCATAAATGAACCTTCATCTTTAAATCCCTGAAGTTTATACCCTGTACTCATGAATCCCGGTCATTCCCAACCCTTAACCTGTTTGGTGCACGGGGAAAAACATGATCCCAGCCAGAATCAAAATTTAATTTTTTTCTACTCACTACACCGGGTCCACATCGTGATGGCTGTTGCCCTGGTCCTGCCGTCCCTCCGGAAGCAGAGCACGAAAGTTGGCCACCTTCTGCGTGCTGGCCAACTGGATCAGGGACAAGGCGCTGGAGCGTGCGAGTCCGGCTATACCGACGGCGCCTGAGGGGGCGGGCTTGCGGGTGGTGGTGACAGCCGCAGAGATCAGGGACAGCGGGCTGCTGCCGTCGGTGGAGTGGGTGGAGAGCGTCCCGGTCGTCGTCTGCCCGCTGCACGGCGACGTGGTGGTCGGTGCAGATAGGTCGAGCACCGTCAGGTGGCCGGTACTCAGCGGCGCGGTGTAGAGCGCCGTGGCCGCACGCGCACCACCCTTGATGATCGTCGTGAGCAGATGCTTGCCTGTAGAACGGGAGAGAGAAGTGAGGCAACATGATTGTATTGCTCAAGCCAAAGGGCAATCGTACATGGGGCATGCAGATGCAAACGTGGATGACGACGTGCTAACAAACTCCGAGAGGCTAGCTAGCTAACCAGCTAATGATCCTAGCTTACAAGAAAGGATAAGCACAAGTATAAAATATTGCCTTTGGTCGTCGCCGTGGAGACGGCGAGCTGGAGGAAGACGAGGACTGACTTGCATGGACAGCCACATTTTGGCTTGTGGTTTGTGTATTTTGTGTTGGAATCGATGATGTGAAGGAAGGCGTGCATTGATTTCTAGCTAGATGTTAGACTATGTATAACTTCTGTACCTATGTACGTATTGTAACACAACCATTATATATAATGAGATAAGCCACCCCTAGAGGGTTGTGCTGGTTCCCAAAACTTATTGTCTTACATGGTATCACGCTAGGTTACGATCGCTTCCGCTTCTAAACCCTAATACCCGCACCGCCACCGCAGCCGCCGCCGCCTTCACCGCCGCCGCGCCACCGATCGCGCCGCCGCCATGTCGAGCGCCGCCACCACCGGTTCCACTGCTGCGGGCTTCCTCCCGGCCTCTCTTGCGGCTCTGCTCAACCTCCCGCTCGATGCCGTCTTCGTTCCGGCTCCGATTGGGACAAGGAGCATCGGCTCCGTCTTCTCCACGCCGCCGGCGCCCTCGCTCGGGCGTGACCTCGTGGTCCACACCGCGGCGCCGCCGTCCGCTGCGGATTCCGCAGGCGTCGTCCCGCCGCTCCTGCCGCGAGCGGATCACACCGCCCCGCTGGCGGGGTTGGCGGCGTCCGCCCCGGCCGCGGGCCTTGCGGCGTCCGCACCGGCCGCGAGCTTTGCGGCGCCTGCCCTGGCTGCGGTCCCGCCTCCTCCCGCATCGGCTTCGGTGCCTCCGGCTGCCTCCATGGTGTTTGCACCCCAGGCAGCCTCCTCGATGGGATCGTCTTCGCCGCCGCCGTTTCACTTCGGTCATCTCATCACCATCAAGCTCTCCGCAGACAACTACATCTTCTAGCATGCGCAGATTCTCCCGCTCTTGGGGAGTCACTACCTGCTAGGCTACGTCGACGGATCGCTTCCCTGCCCACCCGCACTGGTAGACAGCGTGCACGGTCCGGTCTACAATCCGGCCCATCGCGTCTGGACGGGGCAGGACCAGGCGAACCTCTCCTCCATCCAGGGGTCGCTCTCGCCAGCAGTTGCCGGCCTTGTTGTCTTCGCGAAGACGTCTCATGAGGCCTGGACCATCCTTGAGCGCACCTTTGCAGCGCAGTCCCAGGCTCGTGTCTCTGCACTCCGTCGTCAGCTTGGAGAGTGTCAGAAGCTTGACTCCACGGCCACTGAGTTCTACAACAAGGTCAAGGGCCTTGCCGACACATTGGCCTCCATTGGACAGCCCCTCACCGACTCCGAGTTCAACTCGTTTATTGTCAATGGTCTTGACGAGGAGTATGATGCCTTAGTCGAGATCATCAACGAGCGGGGTAACTCGACACCCATGTTGGCACACGAGGTTTTCTCTCGGCTTCTTCTCACTGAGCAACGGGTCGAGACTCGCCGCACCAGGGGCACTGGCTCTCTCTCGGCCAACGTCGCCACCAAGGGTGG